AGATCTGAGGACGCACCCACCACAATAGATCTGTAACCACCACTCCATTGCCTCCATCGCACCATCTGAAGACGCACCCACACACACCCCCATCGTACCCCGCTGCCACTAAATAGATCGGCACCACTCACAAAATTAAAAAAAAAAACTCGACAGAGAGGAGGACTGCGCAATCGACGGAGTGTCGGCGACAGAGAGGGGACTGGAGCTGAGATAAGATTGGAGCGAGAAAACCGTTGGCCGTGAGCAGTTCCCTCATTTGCCGCGAGAACACCAGTGGCAGTTCCCTTATTTCGCCGGCGAGTGGAAGGTTCTTAGGCCACGTTTTTCTGGTCACAGAGACGGGGAGGAGAGAAATGGGACGGATGAGAGAAATGGGAGGGATGACCGCCGGCGAGAGGAAGGACCTTAGGGTCACAGCTACGGGGAGAGAAAATGAGAGGGAAGAGAGAGAATGGGAATTTTAGGGTTTGATTTTGGGTGATTTTAATTATATCGAAAATTATATAATTAATATTAATTAAATATAAAAATCTGATAATTGAAAAGTTAAACTTGTGACAGGATTTGTGAAAATGAAAATCTAAAAACAGGTGTAGGTGTAATTTCCTCATTTTTTTTTCCCTTTCCTCTATTTGCTAAGCCCAATTAAAAGGCAGGCCTATCAAAGGATGACCCGAGCCTGTTTAGCAAGGGGAGCAGCCTAGGTTTTCTTCTCTCTCAATAATTTACACAAAAAATTGTCGGCATCAATTTATCTTATGTTGCAGAGATTTCTTCTCAACTTCTTCATCACCAAACTTGGAAGGTAGTATCTGATTGTATCCGTGTTAAAACGGGCTTTATATGTTGAAATCGACTCGATTTGTTTGTTTTGAATGATTTAATTTGAAGTCAACTCCTTATAATTTATTCTATTTTTCCAGAATTTTTGTTTCTTGATGGTAATCTTTCTCTAGCAACAGTGATTTTTTCAACAATATTTCTCTTGAATTTTCGATGCGGTTGTTTATGGTTTTCCAATTGTGAAATGCCCAGGACCAAAATCCGATGGGGGCAGTTGCCCCCCTAGACCACAGGTGGCTCCGCCCCTGATCTGGGTGCATTGCACTTTGACCAATTAGTATGTGTTTTAATGCTGNTGCACTTTGACCAATTAGTATGTGTTTTAATGCTGGGATCCACTGTGCTTGGTGAAAGTACAGATCAACCAAGTTACTGCCTTTGTGATTTGATTAGGTGTACACCGCACACCCTTCCCCGAAACCGTGGGTCAAGATGCTGGTACATTTGTTCTAAGTGCCCATTACTGGCATAGTAAAGGCAGGCATGGGCAGAAATTTTCCGCCAGCCATTTCTGCCATTTTAGCTGTTTATGAATGGAAGCAATTGATTTTTGCTTGCGATGTGCCAAATTTAAGAACTAACCATTTAATCATGTCATAGGTCTTGCTGCATGATGCTTCCTTTCTGTTGTGATATGAATCTTTTGACTTGATGTACTCTTTCTGGAATTTTTCAATTGCATTTATATTAGAGTTATTTTTTCCTGTTATATCAGGTTGCCTTTAGTTTCCAACTTTAATTTTGATAAGCTGAAAGTCATTATAAATATGTTTACGAAACTTTTATATGTACTAATACTTCTTGTGAGATATATGAACACAACACAACCTCCATATTAAATTGTCCTTTCAGGCTTCATATTTCCTCTTAACATTTGTAATATTGCATTGGAATTCTGAAGTCGTAAAGTCTCTGTGTGTCGACTTGATGATCTCTTTCTCGATATATGTAGAAAGATTTTAATCTATACATAGAGTATCATGGTTTTGGAGGATTTTGTTGCTGTAAAGTGCAACGATTGATTGAACGGAGCAGCAAAAAAGTATTTATGTAGTCGTTTCAAAATTATTGCGAATAAGGATGAATTTTGTTCTTATTGACTCGTTCTCTTTCTCTCTAGACTGTGCTCCCACGCGTGCTTGCACAGTTTAATCTTTCCTATAACTGGCTAATGTATATGAATATATATTTTCCAGCTGTGAGCTTGTGAAGTAAAGATGGTGAAACTGACTATGATTGCTCGTGTCACTGATGGGCTTCCAGTGGCAGAGGGACTGGACGATAGTCGTGATGTGCCAGATGCTGACTTCTACAAGCAGCAAGTCAAGGCTCTGTTCAAAAACCTCTCAAGGGGTCAGAATGAGCCTTCAAGAATGTCGATTGAAACAGGCCCATATATCTTCCAGTATCCTGTCTTTCATTTTTAGCAAAGATTTTTATTTACTTCCTCTTGTTTACGTGTATGGAGTTGACAAACTAGACAGCTTCAATATAATGAGTTCAGAAAATTTTGCAGCTGAAATGGATCTAGATATCTGTTTTATTATAACCTTTATTTTAAAATCTTTATTTGCTCAGTGGTCATTTCGAGTTTGCTATTTTATTTGTCTAAGTTGAGCCTTGAATGTGCTCTATGATTCTGTACATTACTGCACATCCATCATTGCTGTATTCTGCACATCAATTGGACATCGTCTAATAATAAAATATTAAAGAGAGGTGTGCCTTTGGTGGTTTTACATTACCGTCTTTACTGTATATCTTAAACCCTTGCGAGTAAAAACTAATTTTTGACTTGTCATTAATGTTCTTTTTCCATAGTATGAAATACGATTTTGTTTTAGATTGATAACATGCCTTTTGAGAACCTTGGGACAATTTCTAATTAATTTTTTGAGAAAGTATTTAGTTTTTTATACTAAGATTAGTTAACTGCTAATTTTGTCTTCTATTTTCCTTTTATTGAAGTTTTTATTTCCTCAACTTGGATGCCTAGTCATATTATTGAAGGGCGTGTTTGTTATTTGACAATGTGTGATCGTGCTTATCCCAAGAAACTTGCCTTTCAATATCTGGAAGACCTTAAGAATGAATTTGAGCGTGTCTATGGAAATCAGATTGAAACTGCTGCAAGACCTTATGCTTTTATTAAATTTGGTAAGATATATCTTCACTTTCTGTTATCAGCCTTGAGAAGTATTTTCTATCTTTGCTTTCAGTTATTTGTCAACATAGGTACTTTTTTTTTTTTGAGAAGCATTTGTAAGTTCTAGTTACCACTTTGTCAGTAATAAATTTTCTTCCCTTCTATGTTTGATATATTTTTCCTCTTTTCACTTGATTTTGCTAGATACATTCATACAGAAAACAAAGAAATTGTACCAGGATACAAGAACCCAGCGGAATATTGCAAAGTTGAACGATGAACTTTATGAAGTCCATCAGATAATGACTCGCAATGTACAGGAAGTTCTTGGTGTTGGTGAAAAGTTGGACCGTAAGAGATTCCATCTTTGATGTTTAATGATTCTCAAAATCTATGATACATACTTTTTTTGTTATTTCATGGCATAAAGTAATTTTGCAACTTTTTACATTTGAAGCTTAACATCATGGGATATGATAGGCATGCATGTTCTTGAGGGTTTTCTATTCTCCTGTTTTCAATTGCTTATTGTTTCTTTATCTTGCCTCAACTTTATAAAATTTCATTTTCGTGCTTGCTTGCTTTGGGGAATTTGGGGAATGAATTTTTTGTGAATCTTGTTTATGTTATTCCCTTATTTTCCTGCATGTTTGATATTTATATGCTTTAATTGTGAACTTCTGCAGAGGTCAGTCAGATGTCGAGTCGCTTGACATCTGAATCCCGCATATATGCTGAAAAGGCAAAAGATTTGAACCGCCAGGTTAGCTTTATTAGATTTTATTCGGTACATGTTTTTTATGTTCCTTTACAAACCTATTTCAGTGCTTGAGTTTTCTCGTAACTATGGACAGGGCTATTCAGTTTAAGGCTTAAAATCTTTTTTTTGGCACTTAGTTCTGGTGCTTTTATATAAACAGCAAATTCTGAGTAACATGATTATAATTGTCTGCATCCATGAGCATTGGTTGGGAAACCTAACATTTTTCTCTCTCAAGGTGAAGCATATGATACTCAACTATTACATTTTTGTGGGAATTGAATTCGAGACCTTTAGTCTTCGGTCTTGCTACTTGAGCTAGATCTTATCAGCTGAATATAAACATTAAACATTAAGTTGTTGAATGTTTGTTTGTGATCTTTTACATTTTTCTTTGTTTAATTTTGTTGTCACCTTTCGAAAATAGCACGAGTTCAGTTACCTATTCACTGCATGTACCCTACTTTACTATTCATTCTTTAATCATTGGCTGCAGGCTCTGATTAAGAAATGGGCCCCTGTCGCCGTTGTTCTAGGAGTTGTTTTCCTCCTTTTCTGGGTCAGAAAGAAGTTCTGGTAGTACTGCCATTGATCTGCAGTTGATAGTCACTGTTTCGGTATATTAAATATGCATTTAATCTTTTGAGGTGACTAGCAATTTTTTGTTACAAAAACTACCTTCCTAGGGCTGGGAGAAATCGAACCATGACGAGAAAAGAAATATATAATAGTCAGAGATAAATTGATAGAACACCTGTTGTGGGCTGAAACAGATTTCCGTAATATATACATTTGTTATTATTCTGCATCCTTATTTTCTTATATTGTGTTTTAGACTGCACTAAGATGGGACAAGGTTAATGATATTAGAAATCAGCTCACAAATCTTTCAATGGAAAGGATGTGCATTGTTTGGACATATGTGTTTGAGTTCATAAGCCAGTCATCATTTTGAGGTTGTCTAGTTATAATTCTCTTATTGTATGCCAAGATATTAATGTTGAGAATTTGAAGCAGCATAATTTTAGATTAATTTATTTCCTTGATTTGCTTTATTTTATATCTTGTGTAGCTTAGTATCTCCCCAGTCCCCTGTTACATTGTGCACCACCTCCCCACTCTGATCTAGACCATCCCTACTGTGTAGAAGACGTAAGCTAAAGGGTCTGTTTTGACTATACAATATTGGAGGCTGATTTTGATCAAGTTGGAGTTTATATAGACCTAGTTAGAATCGATTTTTGAATATCAAATAAGGGTGTATGATAAGAATATTTTATACAGTTAGGCACAAATTTGTGGGAGATTTAACTTTTTATTTTTTTGAAATTCTCAATTGAAAGTTTACAAGATCAATCTTTACAATCAACATTTATAAATTCCGTTAAAGGAAGCAATGAATGAGCCTTGAGCCTGGCTATTGAGGGTCATCCTGTGCTTCACCATACAAGAGTTCAAGTGATGCTTGTGCATTATGGTTATATTTGGTATATAGTATCGGGATAGTACCAGAAACGAAACAAGTAAGATTTAGGATATCAGTTTCTTTTTTTCACTAATGTCTGGTGCTGTCTAGTCTAACATATCAAACGCTCCCTGTACTGCTGGTGGTTTCGCTAGGAACAAATTTTCCACAAGTCGGAGAGTAAGGAAATTTCTTCGACGGTAAATTACCGTAACAGTTACTACAGCTTTCACAACAGCAGCCCCGAGTAGGTGACCAATCATAGATATTGTTGAGTTCATTCGCAGCTGAAACAATCACGATTTGCTCTAGAAATGACAAGGCTACATTTTAATCGAATTAGGCCTTTAGATAGTCACCTCGGTGTGTTGTACAAAGCAGCTAATAAAAGCTTCGTACTCTTTCAAGTTATCTGATGATGTCGAGTAGATGAAGCAAGAGCATTTGTATAATCGACACGTTTTCTAACTATCCCATTTGTATAATTGACATGTCCTCTAACTATCCCTGACTGGCCAAGGCTTTCTCTGCATGAAAGAATTCCTGTACCTGAGTTTTATAAGAAGGTATTAGCTATGAGTAGACAGATTGATGGCTTGTTTGACACGACTTTTGTTTTTATTGTAAAAGAGCTTTGGAAGGAAGTCACCCTCGACCATTTTCCTCTCTAAAAGTCATTCTAAGCGGACAAAGAATTTTCAAATAATTATTAATACAAATTTCACAAAGGATAAAAATCTCGACACGATCGTGTATTCCCCAATACAAAAACCTTGATTGATACACCAAGTAAAAGGCCAATGTCTCGACCCCAGTCGAGTAGCTCCACTCGATAAAATCTTGATTAATGCACCATGTAAAAGCGTAAAACTCAAGAATTAGGCAACATTGACTCAACGATAGTAAAACATGAGGGTAGACTCGATTGAAATCGAACACATAAGATTTATACACCATTTGGTAAAAACTAAAATTCAGGTTTTAATTAAATCAAAGTTAACAACTAATTTGAACCACACATTTCAACTATACATTTCATCAAATTTTATTAAAATTTATTAAAAATCTGATTTTAATCCCTACCAAACGGGGACTTCATTCGTAACAGATGATTACAATGTTCGAACAAACATCCTTTCCACAAAAGAGTGGGCCATCCCTGATTGTGTGTCAGCATCGTTTCAGGCATGATTATAATTTGAGAAGCCTACGGGTGAATGCATGGATAAAAAAACGAAATTAATAAGTTTGCCTATAAATTCTAAATTCAATAATTTTTATTATTAGAGACATGTTTAGTATACTAGGTGCAAACAACGTGCAATGCACGTTTACTTAGTTTATATTTAATAGTTTTGTTTAAGAATTAATTTGTTATCAATAAAAATATAATTTTTTTGGTTAATTAGGGGCGTGTCTGGGCGCGCTGCAAGGAGGAAGGAAAATTGATTATGTTACCTTTTTTTTTTCAAACTTACAGCCCTACAGTGAGAGAATTGGTACAAAATTGCGGCTCCCAACGGCATGAATTGTGCTGCCAACGGTTTAATTTCTGCTGAAAAGCAGAAACAGACACCATCTAAATAATTAATAATGTAATTTTTATGTAATTGATAATAATTAGATGTGTGATTTTGATGTTGTGATGTAGGTTGGTGAGATTAAAGAAAATAAGCAAAAGTTGACAAATTTGGAGAAATTGCTAAATTGTAAGGGATCCAAAGTTCGGTGACTAAAATGTAAATACTTAAAAGTTGTGCCGAATTTCACGATGAAGATTTGAGAGTGATCGGAGTCAATTGGATAAAGGAAGACGTCAAGATGATCAAATTTAGTCAAAAGATGATCACAAATCAATTTCCAACCGAAAAGTTATGCTCCGGTGTTTTAGTTTCATATTGAGACCTATTTTTGGTATGGAAAGTGATCGAATTGGAGAATGATGTCTGAATCAAAGTTTTAGCAAGATGAGTTAGCTTTCCAACGCATGTTGAATCGCCTCAATCGGACATTGGAATACAAAGTTATGATAAAAACAATGAAAGAAGGTGCATCTGCTTGTTTAAAACAAGAAATTCCGTTACATAGTCCGTTAAAACAATAAATTCTGTTAGTTTTTCCGTTAAAACAAGAAATTTCTGTTAGTTTTTCCGTTACATAGCCACTTTTAATATATAGAAGATGTAAACTATTACTTTCAGCTTAAGACAACAATTACTTTCACAATAAGAAAATTATCACTATATATTAAAATAAGTAACTTATTGAGTAGGCTGAATACTAATAAAATAATTTTCAAAAATACTGAGTAAAAATATAAAACAATTAGCACACATATCTTAAACTTATATGCAAAAATTATTAAGGAAAATACTAATAAATTATAGAAATCAAAATTGTACAGTGCGATTAAAATATTACAATTTTAAATTCAAATATTAATTTTAATTTTATACTAATTTAAATAGGAAATTTATGATAAGAGGGAATGTTTTTATAATTTTTAAAAGTCTAATTATATTCACACCACAAATTTTATTTCTTGCATCACATTTTAATTGCATTTAAAGTTCTTAATCTTTTTCCATTATAGCACTTATGTTCCAAACAATTTTTCTTGACATTTTTATACTCAAACTTCTCATTAGTTAACCCATTTTATATTTAATAATAGTTTTATGTCCAAAGTCTGTTGAAATGACGTATAAAAACTTATTTTTTCATCATATTTTTTTAAAAAAAAGTGTGAATTTTTTTTTTCAATTTTTAAGTATGAAAATAAAATATTTTGAAGTAAATCATCATCGACGATGAGACATACTAATTAATAGAAGGTTGAAAATAAGAATTCGATGAGAAAAAGTTAAAAAAATAATAATTATGCTACATGTTCATCATCTTTTACATCATTATTTATATTGTGCTATATATTAACACATCATTGAACAATTTAAAAAGAAACACACTTTTCAGCCCACAATTTTTTTTGAAAACAAAGAAAATGTCAAATTTGATGTAAGAGAATGACGTGCATTTAAGCATTAAAAAAAAAAAATTTGCTATGAACGAGGATTAAGGTGCTCAAAAATTGTGAGGGGGGCGGGGGGTTGGGTAACCCGGGGTGTAAACCCCCGGGTTCTTGTAGCAAAACCCTAATAGAAAACCCCTTTCACAGTAACTAATTCAAATTCATACGATCCATTTCAAAAAAAAAGTGACACACTCCATTTACAACGGTCACATTTCCCCATTTTCTCTCATTCTAAAAGAGAGAGATTTCTCTTTACTGTTGAAAAATGAATTCAGAACAAATGGAAATTTCTGGGCGAGAAGTTTACTGTGAATCGGATAAAGAGTCATACGATTCCGATGATTCACAAGCTGACCCAAATTTTGATATCCTTGAGGAGACTCGATCCAGTTTCTTGAACCTCAGGATCAAGAAAAAAACCAAATGCAGGTATTTGTTGCTAATATTCAATAAACTCAAAGAAGATGCCAAATTTGGTTTTAATTAGTGCGGTGATTGTTTTTAATGCTAAATTTTGTGGGCTTGTCTTGTTTTTGATAGTTCTGAAAAGGAAATGGAGGAGAACATTGAGGAAGATGCAGATGTTATTGAGTTCGATGAGAAGGATCAGAAAAGTTACGAAACTGTTCGAAAATTCATTGAAGGTTTCAACTAAAATTTCTGTTCTGTTTATTCTTTGTTAGATTTGAACTTTATCCATGTGGATATGCAAGTATAGAATAATGCAGTAAAGTTGTTCGAAGATATGCTTCTGTTTCGTCATTTGTGAGCGTGAAAATGAATTGTCTAAAATGGTTGTGTGTTTTGCAATGGGAGCAGGTGGCATGATTATGAAATTAAAAGTCGATCAGTGCAAAGTTTATCTGAGGAAGCATGGACTGAGATTGACAGGCAATAAAGATACCCTTATACAACGGATTAAGGAGCATCTCGAGTAATTTATCCTCTCTATTATTTGAGCCTCTAATTTATTGATTTTTGTATTTATTTAGCTCCTTGCAATAATAAATGCTTGTGTACTTTCCAGTATTGTTGATAATGGTGGGGAGAAAAAGTATCCGGCTTCTATTTTCGTGCTTAATTGCAAAGGTATAAATTGTTAGCATTTGTGCTTGGGAAACTGCCCTATCATTTGTTTGCCTTGCTACTTTAGTTCTGCCATCAACACTCAGCATTTAAGAACTGAGTGCTGATTGTAGGTCACTTGGTGCATATTTGTTATGCGATGATGGATAGTACTACACATCATAACTAACAAGATTAGCTTCTTTTTTTTTTCTATACAATTCCTCCTATCAAACGTGTCATATTATGGTTTAGATCCTTCTATTCCTACACTATTTCCTTTCTGTTTCTAATTTTGGAAGATTGAATCATGCAGGTGATGCATGCACAGGAGATGTAGTTATGTTTGAACAGAATGTGTATGAAATGTAAGTTTGCATCTTGAATGAGATTCCAATTAACTTTCAAACTATGCACCCCTGAAGATTAGATTTATCTTTTTGTCATGGAGAGATAGCCTCTGCCTTTTGGTGAAAGTCTAAGCGGAGGACCCTTTTTTCTAACGGAGTTTCTAAGAAGCCCAGCCAGAACTTCTTTGTTCTTAAATGATTTTTTCAAGATTTTACCTCTTTATAGAATAAAATAATGGATATTCTGGATTTATTTTTTGATAATCGATACCGGATCATCTCTTTTTTTTCCTTCTTAAAGTAACGCGCATATCTCGGCCTTTGTGTCAGAATTTTTGGCACGCAGTATCCATTATTTTTATTGTTCATTTATTTTCCTAAAACTGAATTTGAAAAATAAGAAGGATCTTCCACAATGTATGAAAGCTTTACCTGTTGCAGCTATGTCAAACCTTGTGGTCTTTTGATTGATCAGGTTCAGCATTGCATCTAGGAGTGCAAACGGTCCTCCATGCGGTACACGGGTTGTTGCAGGACGGATTGTGAAGGAGAGCTATGGGGCTGCTAAGCAGCAACATACATTTACGGTCAGTTAAACTCGATCAGCTTCGGCCAGGTAGAAACTTGCATTAGGTATTCGACATCATATATGGCCTATCGTGCCATATAGAGCTACAATAAAATTGGTTGCTACATAGTGCCAATTTCTTCCACATTTACTTTATAATGCATATCAGTCAGATATCAGTATTCACTTAGCTTGTAAAATAATTTAATGGCACCTTTAGTCCCGAGCAATGTGATTAGTACATTTTAAACAGTATATAGAAGTTGTCCATATTCATTTCTATTAGATTACTAAAATATAGAAATAGTTTGTGATCAAAATATGGGGCTTAAATAATTTTAGACTTTGTTGTAGCATTTAATATGTTCATATTTTGGCCCCTATGTTGAATAAATCTATTCTCATCTAATTTGAGCAGATTGAAGTGTTGTGGAGCAAAGGGGAGAAACCTCTGCCTCCACTTCATCCCCTCCTGATCAAAGGCAGGAACCTCTACAGGTTAAAAACAATGAGACGGGTAAGCAAACCAATGTTTAAGTGTTTGTATGTAATAAATTTTAGTTTAATTCAAAGATGCATTAGCTTGACACTCATCGCATTTTTTTTTCTTTTTTCCTCAATTCTTGTGAAATTGAAGAGATGGGAAGATGAAGGGGAAAGACAGAAAATTATATCAGAAAAGCATGCTAGAGGATCCATGGCACGCTCAGATCGGGAAGCACGTATAAAAGAGAAGGAAATGCAAAAGTTGCACAAATCAAATAGGTATCAAAATGGTTTCTTGTGAATACACTGTAGAACAGTACTAAATTTCTGATTGTCTATAATTATTTATTGTGGTACTGAAGTTTATGAAAAATGTAACGAACTGACTCTTCCAAATTCAATAAATGTTGGTAGGTCATGCTATGATTCGGAGTATCCTTTCCTATTTGATTTCCTATGAATTCCATATTCGAAGTTGTGATCAATGTTCTAATGCTCAATATCTATATCAGGGTGGCAAGAATGGAAAACCAGAATAAACACAGGAAGTCATCTGATTCTATACCAATGAACCCAGAGAAACAGGGAAACCAACCTCAAAAGCTGCAGGAGAAAAAGAATGCTGCACAGGAAGAGCAATATTCTCAACAGGAGTATTACCGTCCCAAAACTTGTGGAGTGAGCATTCTGCAGCAGAAAGAAAGTTTGCTCGGAAAGCCCAACAATCCTTCAAATGCATATGTGTTGCCAGAAAGGCTCCATCAGAGGCAACCTTTCACTGTCGTGAATTGCAGTTTCCCTTGGACTCCAAACAGGAATTTACAGTACAATAACTTCAACGCTTCAAGGAGTCCAAACAGGAATTTACAGTACAATAACTTCAACACTTCAAGGAGTCCAATTCGAGTGCAAACCCAAAGCTACAATCGAAACTCCAATTATCAGCAGATTCCAATACTAAACCACACTTTTGAAGAAAATCAAAATAATAATTACACAAGGAGTTCATTACAGGGACCTGGTCCTATGAGCAATTCAGTACAAATTCATGCTTTTCGCACTCGGGAGAACTTCAATGCAACTAGGAATCCAGTCCAAAGGCAAGGCCCTGAAAGAAAGCAGGCGTGCAGATTTTTTGCTCAAGGAATATGTCATTATGGAGATAGGTGCAAGTATTTACATGATCATGTAGGAAAGTAGAAATTAATGGAAGAATTGTGAAGGGTGCATCACTGAAGTTTTGGATTTTTCCGGTTGGAAATTAGTTTTTTTCCAACTCCATCGCCAAACATTGGAAGAAGTTGATGGATGTCATTGTCAATTTATGATCAGTTGGTTTGAGAAACTGTATTCTTTTAACTTTTATTTAAGGGTTTATGCTGCTGAGCTGGGTCTTTCACCATTTCTTAAAAGTCATGGCCTTTGCTTGGTCAGCATTCGGGAAATAATCAAATTTAGAGCTCCAATACCCTGTCAATCTCCTTTATCTTCTCATAGGATGATTTAGTATGCAACTCATCAATGTCGCTTGTATGTCACTTAGCTAGCCTCTAATAGATGCATACTCAATTGGCTTTTAAGACCAACATGTTTGTTAGGGCCCTCTGGTCTCAAACAAGCACCCTGCACCACTCAATCCATTCTTCAAAATACACCCAAAAGTAGTAGAAATGCAACAAGCATAACGAAGTTCATTGTTACATACAAACCAAACGAAACCAAAACATGAAAGAAAATGCATTAAAGTGAAAAGAACTGGAGTTTCTTCTTCTTTTTGGACTTCTTTTTGAGGGGAAGGAAATTTTGGGCTTTACAGTTAAACCTCGATAAAGTAATGTTTGATAAAGTAATAACCTCGATTATATAATAATTTCTTTCGATCCCGACTTGAGACAATAGACTAAAGTAATAACCTCGCTAAATGCATTAAGTAATAAAAATAATTGAATCCTTAAGAGCCCAATAAAAATATAAAGTAATAATTAAAGGATTTTATTGAGAAAAAATATATATATATATAAACCAAAATCTTTCAATCAATCAACAATACCCGTACAATAATCATTCATTTTGAAAATATGCATCTATAGTTGATTGTTTTTTCTTCCCACCTAAACCAAAATGAACCTCATCCTTAACTTTTTGTAGAGCATATACAACTTCCGGAATATTTTGCTCGTGTTCTAGCAAGTAGTTGCTTAAGGTGACTATTGCTTGGGACAACACTACTATCATCTGGTTCAAGATCATTCTTATTATCATTACTGTTCATTACCGATTGAATAATTTCTTCGTCTGTAGGTGATTCCATAATTGCATAATTCTCGCTAGGATAGTTCAAAAGATGTTCAACATCCATCACATTTCTATAGCGTAAATTAGAGATGACATCATTTAATCATTGGATACCTTCATCTAATTCACCAACTTCTAGTTCGAGAACATTGTTTTCTTCTGATCGAATCTTGCAATGCCGAAAACAATTTGCAATTGTTGTTGTCTTCACATCAAAATTCCAAGCCGTGTTAGCAAAATTAATAGCATTCAAAATATTAATTTTTCCAGGATTTGGTGCTTCAACCTCAATGCCTTGTAAGATGCTAGAATAAAAACGACGACGATAATGAGTTTTGAATGCTCGAATAATCCAGCATCAAATGGTTGAATCTTAGACGTTGTGTTAGGAGGTAAGAAAAATAACTCTACATTTCTCAAGCCTTCAATTACCTTTGGATGAGCTAGGCAATTGTCTACTATTAAGAGAATCTTCCTGCCATTCATTCTCTTATCAAACCAACCAACAAAATCTTGAAAAAGTAAGCCAGTTATCCTAGCTTTCTTGTTGGATCGATACTTGCAATTAAGATTGTTCATGTTCACATTTTTAAAACATCTAGGATTTGCAGACTTACCAATAACCCAAAGTGGTACTTTGTCAGATCCATCACCATTGCAACAAACAACAACAGTAATTCTCTCCTAATCTTTTTTAAGTCCTTCAAGCTGCTTGGTAGCAAGTGAATTATCAGCTTCCAATCGGTAAAATAATCCAGTTTCATCTATATTGTAAATATCTTTCAACTGAAACTGGTCTAGTTTTGATCGTATTCCAGGTAAAGCATTTTCAATGTTCTCCATGACAACTGAACCACTTTCACCAAAACGTCGATAAGATTTGATTCCATATCTTACCTTGAAACGTTCTAACCATCCACTAGAAAAGCTGAATTCTGGATTAGTTTCACCATACATTTTTTGCAAAATCTTTTTTTTTTCCTTGGATAATTTCTCCAGACATGGTTACTTTATCTTGCCTTTGAAAAAATCACTCATACAAAACTTTCTCTAAATCAGGGTATTTTGTCGATTTGCGCCTTTTAACATCGCTATTTTTCATCTATTTTACAAATATTTCGACGCCCTTTTGAGAGTGTTCGATATTGTTGATTGACTCAGGGGAGGGGGTCCTGGGGGGGTCCAGGACCCCCCCAATATTTTGAAAAAAATTTTATTTTTTATTTTTTATTTTTATTTTTTTGGCCTCAAATTTTTTTTTTTTTAATCTCCTAAGTTGTATTGTTTATCAATTATGAGTGAAAGAGTTTCCTTAATCCTCAGGCTTAGTGATGAAGAAGTATTTCAAAATATTAGTAGTTTCTTTTATATGTTTCTTGATTTTTTTGTGAAGTTTTCGTACATTAATTTATGTTCATTTGTTTCATTTCTCCATCACAAAGTACCAAGTTTCCTCATTTTAACAGATAATGTTTCAAAAAAAATTTTCGAGGGCGCTGCCCTTGAACCCCTGCCCCCTTCAACTCCGGGACCCCCCTAGTTTGAAGGGCTGGCTTCGCCCCTGGATTGACTAATAGTCAAATCAAACTTTTATTGCATCCATGCTTGCATATCTTTTTGGCTAATAGTTGTATTCTCTTTCTTATGCTCACATATTGCACTCCTCATTTTATCGGTTAAAGTTAATTTTTTTTCTCCTTTCAAATGATGAGAAGACATTGGAGGGGAAACAAAATATTGTATGTGCTTGGAATATGTCTTCCAAACATCTAGCTTTTATAGGTAAAGACTAAACTTTTTCATTTGCTATGTATGTGAACTTAGTTTTTAGAGACATTAAGTTTCACTAAAACTTTTGAGCTTCCCTAGATTCAAATAATATTTTGATTAGTGTCTTTTGATTTTTCTTATCACATACTATGTACATATTTTATATTAAAAAGCTCTCTCTAATATAATAAATATTTATTTATCGATAAATGAATAATTTATTCATTTATCGATAAATAAATAGCCTCGCTAAATGAATATTTTTTTCCGGTCCCAAGGGTATTACTTTATCGAGGTTTAACTGTAGTTGATAAATTGTCTCTTTAACGTATCAGTCGATGTCTGTGAACATAAATTGCCGGGCTTTTGACTAAATCCATAATATATGAACAAAAAATCTTTAACATTGTAAAAACATCTTCCAGGCAACTCATGTTGCTCGGCCTACTCAAACTACATTTAAGAAATGACAATATAAACTAAACAAGTTGCTTACGAAGGGTTGCAACCCGGATTTGATGACAACCATACCGATGAGTCTTTTTTCTAGAAGACATGATTATGAATGCCAGTGTTTTTAAAAGGAATTTTGTGAAGGCGATTTAGACCTATGTGCATTGTTGCTCTCGTGATCCTGGTTTGGACCTACGAAGATTAATATCAGTGCTGTTTTTTAGTGTATTGGTGTTTGTTAATTTAGTGGGTCCTTCTCGGCTCAAATAGAATTCAAGAGTACAAGTTTGAGATCAATGGACTGTATGATGATGCTAGCTCTGTTTTAACATAACTGAATGAAACTTCTATTTGTTGTAGCATCTTGAATGCTCATGCACATAACCTATACTATAGTCCAACTAATGATATTATATCCACGAACTTAGGTAGCAACTTAGCCGTCAAGTGATAACTGGATATAAAATTGCTCATGGATTGCGAAATTAGACGCCATTCAGTTGTCAAGTGCATGTAAATGAGAAGCATGACCTGAAGCGCAATGGAAAATATGCGGATGGAGAGCTTGTTCTGTGGAAACATTACTTAACCCATGGCTATATAGTAAGGCTATATAAAAAGAATTAGCCCCTATTTGGTCCGAAATAAATTTCTGATTTTAATCCAAGTCAAAATCAAACAATCAATATTAACCACGTCTTTCATGAGTCCCACAACTTTTTAAACCACATATTTCAAAAACTTCTATTACATTCTACTAAAAATTTAATTTTAATCACCACCAAACACCCTTTTAATCTAAGTGTACAATATTCTTTGACAACAATAGTTGACAACCATGTGTTGTCAAAATCCTAGTATATGATGTAGAAAATAGTTTTTTAAAATGGATGGATATGATGATATCAAATAAGATATTGTCAACCAACGTTATCAATCAGTATTGTACATGTAGCATGATTCATATAAAAAAGAATGATCTTAAAAGTCTACATATACATGGGCTTTCCTTTCCTCTCCCAATTAAAAACTTTTGTTTACGCCGCCCCAACATATATTACAACATATAGTAGCCTTTGTTGCACATGAATATGTGACATCTAACCAGTGTTCTAAAATGCGTAATGCGTTGCGATGCGTCGAGGTCGAGAATCAAGAATCACAAGTTTAAGCGTGTCAATGCGAAGAATAAGCGTCATAATGCGTTTCGTGTTTTTAATATTATTTTAATTATTTTTAAGATATTAAATATATTTTTATATAAAAAATTTTACTATATCATAAAAAAATAGATTTGTTACTTTAAAAAATGTAATTAAAAAATGATAAATTTTTGTATTTAATAATAATACTATAATATTGCTAATTAATGTTAGAATAATTTTAAATTTTTTATTAATTAAGGAAATATATAAAAATGCTTAACCATTTTCACGACTACTCCAGTACTCCTCCCCCATTTTCACGAATTCTCCTTCTCGGCTTCTCCCCCCTGCTCACTGAAAAACCCCCCAAATTCAAACCCATGAAATTCTCCTTTGGCTCCCGAAAGAGAACCCGCAATCCACCACCACGAAGCCCAGCTCAAAGCCCTCATTGCCCACCTCGATGAAGTTGCAAGCCAGGAAAGAGAAGAAGTCAGAAAACCAGACAAACCAAAAACATTAGAGCTAGATGGAAATTGTCTACCACCCATTTCTTTCTCGTGCTGAAGCTTCTCTGTCGCCCCAGCTCTTGGATCCTAAGGTAGAGCTGAAGCCTGAATTGCATCACCCAAGAACCTCATATTTTGTGCGGGACTCATTATTTCAATATTTGGGGCTGGAACCCTGCAATCCAGGGGCTGGAACCCTGCAATCCAGGGGCTGGAACCTTCATTATTCCAAATTTCCAATTGGGGCTGGAACCCTGCAATCCAAAAAAGTTTATTTCCAAGAGCCCTTAGTTAGAGTCTTAGAGAGGAGAGAGTGAAGCCAGAACGCCGGGAAGGTTCTCCGTTCTTCTGGCTTAGAGATGAGAGACGATTATCCTAGATTCCTAGTATGAAGGTTCTCCATTCTTCTGGCTTAAATGTGTAATGCTTGCAGCTTGCTTGTTGTCGTTGATCCCACATCGGAATCCTACGGATTAAGCACAAGAAATTTTTCCTATAAATAGATGGGCCGGGCAACACACAATTCATATGCTTCCTGGGCCTAGCAATTGGGTTGGAAGTTGTTGAGTCAATTATTATTAAGTCAAAGTTTTGTTTAAAAACAAAGAATTAAAAGAATTAATAAACTTAAAAAATGCGCGCCTTTTATGCGCATTATCGCGCTTTATTGGGCTTCTGCACGCAATTTGGTGGTCAACGCCTGTGTTGACCGCATTTATGCACGCATACATGGTATGCGAAGCGTTTAGGCCACGCTTCGCGCGTATGCGCGCTTAGGCGCCGCGTTTGGACGCGTTTTAGAACACTGTATATTACAACATATAGTAGCCTTTGCTACCAAAAATACAACAGATCTGAGAAAATCTCTACTGAAAGATCGCTCATAACACTGTGATCAATGAACCTGAGAGCATCATTTTGCATCAGTGTACGTATAATGCATTCCACGGAAATCGTATTTAAACCATTTTTAACTTTTATATTCTTCTTTGAGTTCATAGATCACTTCTAAGTTAAAGTTCCCACAATCAGTTGCTGAGTTAAGAGGATCTATTATAACCATCTAGTACTAAAACAACATCTAACTACTGATCAATGGCAGTGAAATGCCAAACCTTTAATGTGTTGTCTAGAGAAGCAAATAACAACTAACTATCCCAAAAAATTATAGATGATACGTCCATGGTATGCCCATATAATGTATCAATACACTGGCGTTTCAAGGTTCAAAACCTGGAAAGAATGTGTGTACATGAGCAAAATTATTTAGCAAATCAAAACACTAGACCATATAAAGTGAAGGAATCAAACAAGTGTAGAAAGTAGACTTGGGAGAATCCAACTCTGAAAGTAGGTGCTCTAATATAACATTTTGGGGTGGTGAAGACAGGTAGAATAGACTACTCAAATTAGGCAATGGTCTTAACAGTGTCAACATGGATGATAACTGTATACATAACAGGGAACTATTTCGGTATTTCCATATAATATGTATGTGGGCAAATAAAATAAGTCAACAAGGTTAAATTGCCCACATATATAGATGATTCATCTCTACAATCTACTGACTTCGAGAGAGAAACAAATTCAAATATAAAGGTTGTGAAATTAGGGGGTTTTTACATTTGTCATAATGTTTTAACAAACTTTTATAATTTTTTGTACCAATGCAATACTCATTTTGCTATATCTCATTCTGATTTATTAACATCTGTGAAGATTTCTCAAACTTATTTTATAATTTAACAATGACAGCAGTACATTTTTAAGTATATCTATCACGATAAAAAAAATTCAAAGAAATATTTCATTGTTTACTTGTGTTAATTATTTTAGATGCAGTGCTAGATCCTTATTTCAACATCACTAATAATTAATAATTGTGTACATAACTGGAAACTATTTCCATATCATATCTACAACATGGGTAAATAAAATAAGTCAACACAGTTAAATTGCCCTCATATATAGATGATTCAACTCTACCATCTACTGACTTTGAGAAAGAGTAACAAGCGCAAATATAAAAAGGCTGTGAAATTAAGGGTTTTTTCTGATAGAAGCCTTGTCTTAATGTACTTTGTCATAATTTTTAACAAATTTTTATAATTTTTTGTACCACTGTGATACTCATTTTGCTACATCTCATTATGATTTATTAACATTTATGAAGATTTCTCGAACTTTTTTACAATTTAGCAACGACAGTCGTACATTTTTAAGTGTATCTATTAACGACAATAGTACAATTTAGCAATGACAGTAGTACATTTTTAAATGTATCTATCCAAGGCAAACCTATTAGTTTGTCCGTAATGATATCACAAGTTTTTGATAACTGAAAGTTGCTGTTATTCTCGCGAAAGAAGCTGGTTATAGGCTCTATCTCATTTTCACCATATTTGATTGTAGACTTACTTTTAGATTTTCAAAATTTGCACGTAGAGAGACGTTTTCTATTGTTAGAGCTTGAGGCTTTCCTCCATCTTTTGTATAGTCTTTGCCGTTGACATCTTCTTCTATAAGCAACTGCATTGAATCATAGAATAATGATTTCTTAAATTTTATTCTCTGTTCTTTTGTCATGATTTAAGTGCCATATGTTTTCAATTTTTTTAAATGACAAACTAGGAAGGATAGGTATTGAGGAGCACAAAATCAATGGAAAGATAAGATCGATAGTCAAGATTATTAGACTAATAGAGAAGTTGATGAAGAAAAGAATGTTTTCTTAACACTTTCAAACGATAAAGAAAACAAGAATGATTTCTTAACATTTTCGATGTGCAACACTTCTAAATCTGTCATATGTCTTTAGTGAAGCAACCACCCTCGATTGGCAGTTTTCACGGTGCATTAGCAAACATTCTCAAAATATTCAGAAGCAAAAAATGGGGAAAATGGCAAGTATTGTAAGGTAATCCTTAAAAGAAAATATACACTCTTTACATTAAAACCTTTGTAATTTGGTACATACGTTTGCAAGCTCTCACTCAGTCAAGTACTCTCTCTAGCTCTCTTTGATGTTTTACGAAATAACTCTCATAATCTTATATATCTACACTACCTCGAATGGATGATGGAGATTCATACTGTCCAATTTCTAGGATTAGCCCCCTAGAATTTTGTATGACATGTAATATTCTTACGGCATTCTAGAATATTGTTGACCAAGATATTCAGTGGGAAGGGAGACGTGATTCCAATATTGCTAACCAATTGGAAGCACATGATTGTGAAAAACAATAGAATGAAGATGGTGCCCTTCCACCGACTGTCAAATAATGCAATTGTAGATTATCATCAAAGTAATAATATATTATTAACAAAATTCCACAATTAAAATTTTCAATTTGTACATTTCTTTGGGAAGAAAAATTGTATATTGAAGATGTTGCTCTTCCACCAACTTTCAGATAATGTCATTGTAGATGGAGTAAGGTAGCATTGTTAACAAAATTCTATAGCTTAGTTTCTTTACTTTTATATAGGGAGAAATGTAGAGGATGGAAAAGATTTGATATGTGAGGTTTATTGTGCTAATTGATTCCCCTTCTCCTTCGGCATACAGTTTGCCAAATCACAATTTTAATTCAAATCTTTTTTTGTGTTATTTTTTTTTTGTTTCCATTTTGTGCTAAGACGTTTTTTCTTCCCAACAATGCAACAAAATTCTCTCTTAAGGTCTTCCATATTTACATTCCTTGCAAGTTTTCTTTGTTTGCTCAATTCTTTCCAGTATCAATATGTTGATTGTTTCATTTTTGTATCTTCCAGAAGGAAAAATGATCTCTGAGATTTGTTTCCCAAATCCAAAAACGAGTGTTTAAATTTTCTTAATAACTAAAAAGTGTAGCATGCCTAAATTTGACTAGAGAACGCAGTGGTAGAGGAACTGGATTAAAAAAAAAAAAAATAGGGATCCTAGTTTCCATTCTTTTTTACCTTGGTTCCGTAGGAACTAGGAACGAGTTAGAAAGATAGAAAAATAGAGTTCATCCATTAAAGTCTTGAACAGCAGTGTAGGATCAAATCCCAAATATAGTAGCATGCTAAAGAAATGCTATTTCTGGTTGCTCTTGTTTTTCCTTCCTGGTTAGGCTGCAGCAACACTATTTTATACAGATTAATATCCATTGTAACATAATGTAACTTCTATTTGTTGTAGCATCTTGAAAGCTCATGAACATAAGCTAATCATCCAACTATAGAGAAATTCGCTGTCGAGGTATACATCAAATGCAAAACTATTCGAGAAGACATAAAATGAAGGAATTGATAAGAAAATTAGACGCTGTTTAGCTATCATGTAAATAAAATTGAGAAGCACAACACATAATGGAAGAAACATTGCTCCAATCAGTGGATGTGAAAAAAATAAAAAAATGAAAGAATGAATTTAACATTTTGGCAAATGAAAATATACATGGGTCTTCCTCTCTAACGACAAAACTCAGGTTGGAAACTGATATTCGCTGCCCTAACATATATTACAATACACAGTAGCTTTTGCTCCCAACAATACATCAGATATGAGAATATTTCTAGCGAAAGGGCTCATTTAGCATCAGTGTGAGGATGCCACCAATAAAAATACGAATCAATAGTTTTAGCTAGTAGGAGTTCAGATCAAATAGACATTGACTTTTCTAAAGCAATAGCTCTCAAGATGATATAGCACATGGAACTCCAAGCAATTTCCAGACGGAGAGCTGTCCTGCTGCATCACCAGTGAAAAAGAGACCACCAATGCCAATTTGAATCGCTTGTACTTCCTGTTTCGAAAATATTCTGCCCCTTTCATTAAACCTAAAACCATAAATAAAAACAATCATCGGACCAGCACAAACGGGTGAATAACATCAACAGAGATGATCATAGTTTGATGATACTAACGAGGGCAAGTCATATAAGCGAACAGTATTGTCGTTATATGAGCAGAAAAGAATAGAGTGAGCTTCAGCATCTGTCATGCCAAAAAGAGCAACAACCCCCTGAAAGATGTAAAATTTGTAGACCAAGTGAGAAGTCTAAAACCACATAATGCATTCCAAGGAAGTTGTATAAAAACCATTTTTAACTTACATGTTCTTCTTTGTGCTCATAGATCACTTCCAAGTTTCCACTATCAGTTGCAGCCCAAACCTATAAGAAAGGGATCTATTAGAACCAGCAAGTACTAAAGCAACATCTAACTACTGATCCATGCAGTGAACAACCAAACCTTTAATGTGTTGTCCAGAGAAGCAGAAAACAAGTAGCTGTCCCAACAAAGGACAGAAGTTACATCCCCGGCATGCCCATTTAAGGTCTGCACACACTGCAACGTTTGGAGGTCCCAAACCTGGAAAGAGAGCATATACATGAGCAAAATTCTTCAGCAAATTCAAAACACTGGACCATATAAAGAGAAGGAATAAAACAAAAGGAGGAGGAAGTAGAGAGAAACACTCGTAGGGCCTCCAACTCTGCCAACGGGTGCTCGAAAAATACCTTGGGGGAATACAAATAAAACTGATTCGACAGATCAAACAATGTTATTCTGCCCCTTTCATTAAACCTAAAACCATAAATAAAAACAATCATCGGACCAGCACAAACGGGTGAATAACATCAACAGAGATGATCATAGTTTGATGATACTAACGAGGGCAAGTCATATAAGCGAACAGTATTGTCGTTATATGAGCAGAAAAGAATAGAGTGAGCTTCAGCATCTGTCATGCCAAAAAGAGCAACAACCCCCTGAAAGATGTAAAATTTGTAGACCAAGTGAGAAGTCTAAAACCACATAATGCATTCCAAGGAAGTTGTATAAAAACCATTTTTAACTTACATGTTCTTCTTTGTGCTCATAGATCACTTCCAAGTTTCCACTATCAGTTGCAGCCCAAACCTATAAGAAAGGGATCTATTAGAACCAGCAAGTACTAAAGCAACATCTAACTACTGATCCATGCAGTGAACAACCAAACCTTTAATGTGTTGTCCAGAGAAGCAGAAAACAAGTAGCTGTCCCAACAAAGGACAGAAGTTACATCCCCGGCATGCCCATTTAAGGTCTGCACACACTGCAACGTTTGGAGGTCCCAAACCTGGAAAGAGAGCATATACATGAGCAAAATTCTTCAGCAAATTCAAAACACTGGACCATATAAAGAGAAGGAATAAAACAAAAGGAGGAGGAAGTAGAGAGAAAAACTCATAGGGACTCCAACTCTGACAACGGGTGCTCGAAATATAACTTGGGGGAAGACAAATAAAACTGATTAGACAGATCAAACAATGGTCTTGACAGTGTCAACATGACTGACAACTGCATACCTAACTGGCCAACTGTTCCCCGGGTCAATAAGTCAATGCGTGTAAATTACCAACATATTTAGATGATTCATCTCTACCATCTACTGACTTGGAGAGATTATAAACACGTTCAAATATAAGAGGTTAAAATAAGTCTCCGGAAGAGAGCATACCCGTATTGTATTATCGCTCGAACCCGAATAGAGCTTGTTATTAGCTCCCAGTACAAGTGAACACACAGCACCAGTATGTCCCTTCATCTTTGCAGCCAGTTCAGGAATGTTGGTTTCAGTACCACATTTCCATACTAATATGGTACCTTCCTGGAGCCATAAGATGCATAAAACTGAGAAACCATAATGGAGTTAATATTCAACAAGATGACACAAAACTTCAGTAACCTTTTCCAAAATCTTCCTCAACCTTTAACTACTACTCTACCGCTAATTACTGTTATCGCAATTCTGTACAGATCCAAAATTACAATTAAAAAATAGCAAAACACTGAAACCTTCTAGTAGTAGTTACCTCCGTTCCAGCGAAAAGCATATCATTGTCCATAACCATAGAATAAACTTGCCCAACAGGTCCCCTAAGAGACAGTTCAGCTTGAACTTGGAAGTTCCAAGCCTAAATGATTAAAAAATCCATCATGATAAATACAAGATTGACTACACTGAAAATTTGAACAAAGTCTACTCGGATATGGTAGGATATAAGTACATGAAGAACATTAGTTACCTTAATAGCATTTGGTAATCCAGCAAACAACCACGGACCTTCACTAATCAAGCACCCAACTTCACCATCGAGATCAACAGCACCAGCACACTGCATTAATGATGAATAACCATATTATTGATCACGCATCTGATTTACCCAATGTGACATTTTAACCAAGAGAAAAGTAAAATTATCCATACCTGACCACTGTTGCAGTCCCAAATGCGGATAGTTTTATCTTTACTAACAGTATATAGCTTGTCAGAACCAGAAGGGAGAGCAATTCCAGTTATGGTCTGTACAAATTTCATTGGAAAGAATTATCGTTAGTATTGTATGCAACAGTTCCTTTAACCGTTTGATAAAACTGTATAAACGAAGAGCAGTTCCAATAAGTGTGTAAAAATAGAGAGAAATTACTAGCAGGTTAAGCATGATTCGAAAAAAAAAAAAACAATGTTATCAGATGAGCACCTTAGTGTGCCCCGCTAACTTCGTCAACAATGTAAATCCAGATCCGCAGTACCAAGAGTGTATGTCCTTGCAATTATCGCCATGGACACAACTTGCTGTAACCCAATACTTGCATAAGTTCGGCTGGATTTTTTGAACAGATTTTCTATCAGAATCAACTGATTCAGCGACAAAAGCCTTTTGCACGGTCTGCTGACAGTGGATACTTGCATTGGAGGTTACGACCACTTCTTGGTCCCTCTGATTAATTTTTCTTCCATTCTTTGCTAGGACCTCCTGTTGGGAAACTTCACCACTTGTACGCTTGGACCCAGCCCCTCTGTTAGTTAAAACTGTACCATTCTTGGGAGTACCAGAGTTAGTATTCTTCAAGGTCCTTCTGCTGGATTTTAGGTAATGACATTCCTCAGGTGTTGCTGAATGGGTCTGCTTAGTTTGTGGGGGTGGTCGTGATTCTCTGTGCATGAACCCGCATGGATTCCGATTGCATCTCCCAGAAAGCCAGTAGACACAGACTCTGTTTTTTACAAATCCTCCTTCAAGTCGATTGGAGACAGAGACTCCCCTTGCAGCCTTGACCACCATTATAATGCTATACACACAACAAATTACAGGTTAATCAAAGCAGGCCAAACTTGCCTCCATTCATACAACATTCTCTTTCTTGCCAAGATAGGAAATCCAAATGCAAAATTCCAATACAGTACATCCATCAAATTCAAATTTCTGATCTCCAGACGTTTCCTCTATTGCAAGCCACGGATGAACAAGTATCCATATGTGAAAACACTGAGCTCTAAAATCCAACTATACTGAAGGCTAACTAGAAGCAGGTCAAAAGTCATCCAGTTGGATACCATCTGTGGCTGTCTCAACCAATAACTGAGATTCTATTAACAAAAACTAGATAAAATACCTCCAGCAAATGAAAAGAACATATAAAAACCAGCGGATCAGAACCATAAATGAGAGGCAGCAATAGTCAAACTTCACTGTAGCCTAAAATTTCCAGAAAACCAACTTTTTTTAGGTAGCAGAAACCTTAAATTTCTGATTCTGTGAAACCCAAAATAAGTTTCAGAAAACCCACATATTGTTGAAGACCCCAACTTATAGACCGATTAAAAAATACAGAATTAGAATCCTAAATGGGCAACAACAAAAAAAATAATAATAATAATAAATAAATAAAATAAAATAAAATTCTCTAACTACCACATCGGGTAGAACTCCTCCCCCTTAAACTGGTTTACAGGGAAAGGGTGCCCAATTGGTTATAATTCTAGAAACCAAGTCTCAGCTCAGCAGCGTCGAATCCAATAAGAGTTATTACATTCCACCCATCCTTTCACAACCAACATCTACAGCTTATTACTTCGGCTCACGTTCCCTCACGGAAACAGTTTTCTATTGGGAGTACCCATCTCCAGGTCGCCTTTCCGCAATGAAGATCATCCCGGAAGGAAGGAAGTATACTTGGATACCAATTGTAACCACATCGGTAGAGCTCACAATTCAAATTTATAAGGAGAGGATGCCCAATTGGTTATCAAACCCCAAAACTTGGAGTTATTAGATTTTATCATATCCAAGAACGTCTTAAAACCGCTCAGAATAACACACTTAATCCATGCATTAGAAGTGCCAAAAATCCAAGGATATACAAACGGAGAAAAGATATGAAACCCTAAAAACCCACAAGGAAAATCAGATGAACCCGATCCAGTCATCGCAGAAACAGAAGCGGCGGATTGTCTAAGACCGATCAATTGGTGGTGGATGAACCGATAGACAGATTGCAAAACAAAAAAATCGAAAACCCTAACTGCATATATAGATGACAGAAATCCAGAAATAAACGTGAAATAGCAAACCTGATCAATTGAATCAAATAAAGAAATCCAGAACTCCAATTTCTCTTCCTAGGAGGAGATTTTTGTGGTTAAATAATGCTGAATGAACCGAGTTTAGGACATTATTTATACGTGAGCCGGTTTCATGAAGTTACTGATTTGCCCTTTCCCGCAGCCATCGGGACTTTGGAGTGCATTCAAAATATGAAAATTGATTAGGGTATTTCTCAATGGCCTCTAGTTGTTTGAGCCTGTTTGGCTAAATCACTTACAAGTTTACTTCGCACAGTAAATGAGTTCTAAATAAGTAATGTAAAACCTAGATAAATGAATGTTCGATAAGTTAATCTTACTTAAATAATAGAATTCTTCGGGGAAAAAATTTATAAATGAGGTGTTTAGTTTACACCAATTTAAAAATCATGTTTATAGTTTGAAAATTCAAAAATCAGGTTTTTTTTAAATATANCATCACAGATTATTTTATGGTCACAGTTCAAAACTTTTATAGGTCACATTTAATTCGTTGGTCATAGATTTCAAAATTAGTTGGTCACAGATCAAAATTTATAGGTGACACGGTCACATATTTCCAAATTAGTTGGTGTCAGATTTTTACGATCACAGATTATATAATTTTTAGGTCACAGATAAAAAAAATAGTTCCTTTCATTGGTCACATATTTTCAAACTTGTTGGTCACAGATTATTTTTCAGTCACATATTGTCAAATTTTTAGGTCACAGTTAAATACTTGGTCACAGATAACCAAATACTTGATCACATACCACTGGCACTACTTCAGCCGCCACCACCACCATACAAAACACCGCCACCACCCACAGCCACCAAACAAAGCACGACCACCACCCCAACCGCTAATCCACCATCACAGACCCCACCACACAAAACACCTCAGACACAAATCAGATCCACCACCACCTCTGCACTATTGCCACAGCCTCCAGGACAAGCATTTGGTCACAGATTACCAAGCATGTGGTCATAGACCTCCGCCATCGTGACATCCACTGCCATAACACCACGAGTACATCACCACGTCACCACCACCAACCAGATCTGAACCTACCAAATATTGGTCACATACACCAAACACCCAACCTCGACCCCAATCCACCAACAACACCATCACAACACCACAACTATACACAAAAACACAGTCAAACCCATCCACCGCCAGAGCCACTACACACTGGCAGAGCCTTTAATTCTAATTGACTTGTTATTGAGAGGAGTGAAGTTTAAAACCTCCATAGCCATTGCCGCATTCTAGGGGCTGCTATAGTTCACATAACCATAGCCAAGGCTGGGCCGAGTGCTGAGGTCATGACAAACCTGAACAGAAACAACCTGACCGACCTGGTTAAACAGATCGTAGAGCTACGAATCCGTCACAGTGAAATCCAAGTCTCCCACGTATAGTGAACTCGTCGGAAACTGGCTGGCCCCTCCACCCAAAGCGGCCGCAATCGACATTACCACCACTCCATTAGGCCAAGCCGCTCCATTTTGGTGCTGCACCTGATTTTGTGCCATTCCTTCTAAATAGGAAACTGACCCTAAACCCTTAGATTTCTGCACCGTGAATGTTGCGGCAAGGTGGCTCAATGCCGATTTCAAAGCGTTGCCTCTACAGTGGCGATGTCGTGAACGCTGTCGATTTTGGAGCAGCGCCGATTTTGGATAAAGAGAGGGGAGAGAGAGAGAGTGGGGGGAGAGAGTGAGAACGAATATTGAAAATGAATTAGGTTTAGGGTTGGTGTGAATTATTAGTATTATAATATTATTTAAATATTCAATTGATACCTGATTTTTGAATATACAAACTTTGGACCTGATTTTTAAAAAGTTATCTTTAAACACCTGATTTTTTATAATTTCCCATTCTTCGGTCCCTATTTGGGCCAATGTACTAAATTAATAAGGGAAAGTTACCTCAAACCCTACCCCTAAAGTTTCAATTTCAAAAATCAAATTTTAATAGTTTTGCTTTCAATAACCAGGTCCTAATTATATATAATATATATAAATATAATTTACACATACATACAGCTGTTATCCCTTGTCTCATTCTCACCCATCCTTATACCCTATGTCCACAACTTGTAGAAATTCTCTCTTTATCATTTCAATCTCTACCCACCCACTCCCACAACCTACATCCAACCCCACATTTCTCTATCTTCTGATCAAATTGATGGATGTCCCTGGTAACGATAGATGTGGCATGGTGTGGGGATGTCGGAGAAGGTGGTTCGCGATTTTGGGGCTCACTATCGACGCCAAAAATCGAGACTAATGTGAGTGTTCAGTTAGGTACGAAGAATAGGTTTGTAAATTTGGATTTTGTGTGTTGTTTGGTGATATAACACCATGAATAGATGCCCTTTGATGAGTATGGTCGACCGATGTGGTGGTACCAACATGGACATCTCCAAGACGGTGGTGTCGCCCAGAAAAGTCCGCAACTATTGGTTTTTGGTACATTTGTGATGGTATTAGGCTGGATGTTGGTCAGGGTTTGTAGAGGAGGTTGAAGTGGTCATGCTGGTGGTGGGATCAGACAACTTGGGTAGTGATTGGCCGACAATTGGAGGCTTCAAAGGTGCATGATCTACATGTAGTAATAGTGGTGATGTTGGTGGTATTGCTGGAAATGATAAGATAAGAGATTCACAAAAAATAGGGCAAACCAAGAACTCCCACCTCTTCAAAGGCAAAGAGGAAGAGGCCCAACTTCGCACTAAATGGATCACTAGGTCGAACAGTTGACCTCTATCAATCCAGGACAGATATGGCTATAGCAACTCTAAATGCAGTACCAACTTTGGATTATGAGGAAGTGAATCCTAGTATTGAAATGTACTAAGGAAGACCCCCTAAAGGTTCTCCCAAGCAGAGAGAGGCATGGAGCGAGGTGCTGAACTTAGAAATAGGGATGAAGCGGCCTCTATTGTACATACCACCACTCATATATCCACAATACTACTGGGTGCAGGGACATTACAATGTACCCCCAAAACAATAGTCAATAGAGAAATAGGCACCTCCGAAGAGACGCTCCTCATAGGTAGAACTAGTAGCCCAAGAATCGTGAGTCAAAGCGTGCCAATAGGGATAACGCCCCTCGAAGGAGAGACAATGATAGGAAGAGGTCTGTATGTAGGGGAAAATCCAGAAACTCCCGGAGAAATCATGCAAGAGAAGTAAGGGACCTTCCCAGGCTAGCTTCATAGTAAATAACTGACCTTCCACCGAAAGAAGAGCTCAACCCATCACCGTTTCTCAAGACGATTCGGTTTGCGTACATTATCCACATTGTGATACTCTGGTAGTGGGGGCCGTTGTAGCTCGCAATGGCCTAAAAAAAATGGTAGTAGAAATGGAAGCTCTGTTAATATCATATTTGGAGCCACATTTGACAAAATGGAAGTTGATCATGAACTGATCTTAATGACATTTCCCTTGTATGGCTTTACTGGCAATAGCATCGTTCCAAAGGAAAAATCACTCTAGCAATGGAGATGGAAATAACACATCTAACTGCTCATCATTTTATGGAATCTCTAGTCGTGGATAAACACTACGCCCTCTACGGAGTGCTTGGGAGACCAGCATTGAACGAATTATTTGTCGATACATCCATTCACCATTTGTGTATGAAATTTCCAATGGAGAATGGCATCGCCAAGGTCAGCGATCAGAGGAGTGCAAGAGAATGCTATTCAAATTCCTTTAGGAAAGCAAAACCTCGAAGTGTCAATGTAATTCTAACAAATGTTGACATGGATGACATCCCTGAATAAGGGCAAATCCTTGAACAAGGGGGAGACGTCGAAATGATGGGTACTTCTGAAGAAGAGGATGTCCTCAGAGTCAAAAACACCTTTGAAGAAGAGGCTATCCTAGAAAGTCAAACATCCCCGAAGAAGGGAGAGCTGTTGAAGAAGCATCTAATTTGGAGGAATTGGACCCTCACATCATTGATTGCGAGCCCTAAACAGCCCAGTAGAGGAATTAGAGAGTTTCCAAGTCGATCTCCAAGATCTCTCCAAATGTTTGTAGTTTGGAAAAATATAACATTAGAGGCCAAGGAAAAGCTGAAAAACTTCTTGCGCCAAAACTTGGACATCTTCGCTTGGAAGCATGGAGACATGGTTGGAATTAATCCAAAAATTAGTTGCCACCACTTGAAAATCGATCCGAAGGCTACAGCTCACAGGCAGAAAAGAAGAGGCCTTAATACAAAGAGTTATGAAGCCTTATAGGACGAGGTAAAGAAGTTGATCAATAATCGCTTCATCCGGGAAGCAATGTATCCAAAACAGGTTTCTGTCAGCCCCTTAAAAGTTGACATGCGCAATGACATGAGAACACCTTGCACTCATGCCAAGATTTTATGGATAGGTGTGTTAACAGTGCACACTTCGGATTTTCGGAGCAAGAAAAATGTGGGCTTCAATTTGGCTGGTGTCAAAGTATTGCAGATTGGCAAGGTCTAGGCTAATCCAGCTTGATGTTGTGGGCTTTAGTCCACAAATTCGGGTGTCCAAATTGGGTACATGTTTGATAAATGTGTTGGGCAGTTTTAGTGATCCATACAGGTGGAAAGTATAGGTGGTTGCTGGGAATAGTTGTTCATTGTCTTGAAACTTGGTGACACGTATTTGTTAGGAATAAAATTCAGTGCTCTAACAGATAATGTAGCCACACATATTTTCGGTCCTAAAAGAAGTTGTCGACAAAACAAGTGAGATGGAATGAGTATTTAGCTGATTTTGATTTTGTGTGGGTTTACAAGCCAGGCAAGCAGAATCAAGTTGTTGATGCACTCAATCGAACATCTGTGGAAGTTTATGTTTCGGCTTTGATGACAGTCGTATCTGATTTTCTTGACAGAATCAAATAGTGGGCAAAAAAGGATGTTGCTTATACCAAGTTGTTGCAGGAGATTAAGGATGACTTGGTAAGACGGTATTGGATTGAAGATGGTTTGATCTATGCTAAAGGCAGATGGTATGTACCTTCAGGTGGGAGACTAAGGCAAATATTGTTGAAGGAAACGTATGATCTATTATGGGCAGGCCATCCGGGCATCAAAGGGATGTTGGCTTTCCCGAAGATGGGTGACAAGGTAAAGGCGTATGTGAAATCTTGCTTGGTGTGCCAGCAAGATAAACCAGAAAGGAGGAAAGAAGCAGGTTTGCTCCAGCCTTTGCCAGTTTCAGAACGACACTGGCAGTCGATTTCTATGGATTTCATTTCGGGTTTTCCGAAGGTTGATGGGTTCAAGTCCATTATGGTGGTGGTAGATAGGTTCTCAAAATATTCAATCTTTATTCCAACTCCGCATGAGTGTACATCAAACGATGCTGCTGTCCATTCTTTAAGAACGTGTGAAGTACTTTGGAATACCCAAAAATATTGTAAGTGATCGGGATTCTCAGTTTACAGGCAAATTCTGGACCGTACCGAAACCCCCAAACTTGAATATTTGTTTGTTCTCAAACAAGATTATAACCTAACTTAATCAAAAAAAATTAAAAACACGTATAGTTAGATAATTTGTCTTTTGTCTCAAAATTGGAATACATGTGTTAAAACTATGAACTGCTACAAAATTATAATGTTAAAATCAATTTCTACTTATCCATTGCAAAATCGACGTGTGTGTGTGTTAAAATTCATGTCAAGTATCATAAATTCATAAAGTGATTCAAATCCCGACCATTTATGGCTAAATGTTTCCTTTCTTCATTCGTAAGACACACACCCCCAAACTTCATTCTTTTCACTCTTTCCCCAAGGTGTGATACAAGGTTGCATTTTTAATATAATACTAATCCTTACCCTCTCTAGTTGGTTCGATTTTACTAATTGTAGTTTAACACATCAACAAATACGAATTCTCCTTATTTTTGATTGCTTCAATATCTAAGAATCAATTAAGCTAATAATCTCTTGTCAAAAGTTTAATTCTCTCAAATGAGTGTTCGGGTCTTAATCAAGACATGTAGGAATCTTTTTTTTTTTTTAACTATTGTGCAGACTCTTCTCCATTAAGATTTTTAATTGACCCTTGTAGCGAGTGTTTAGCCGATAACTCCCAAGTCAAATGACCATAGGGCACCAGATTGTTAGATACCCTTGCAGACTTAATCACTCGAGTCATAAGGGCTACAAGAGAAATTTCACAATAAGACAACACCACATATTCATTATTTTTTTCTAAATTTTTTCCTTTTTTTTTATGATCCGTGCAATGTTCCTTTATAAGCACTCATTTTCAAAAATCGACTCACAATTTAAGATTTCAACCTAATTTCCGTCTTATTAGTCTTAGACAATCCATACAAAATTTAGCACACGTGAAATCCACATATATTTCAATGTCTCCCTACAACAGCTCAATCACCCCCAAACTATCTTAGAATTGGTTTAAGGATGTATAATTTAGTGGTTATTTGGATTTAGCATCTATGATCCGCTAAATTCTTTTTTTCACATATTCAAATTTGAATCAAACTATTTTTTTA